CCCCCCGCCTTCCACTTGGACCCACCTATGAGGCTGTCCACCCAGGTCAGCCACAGCTCCCTGTCCGCCGCCGCCGCGAGGGCCGGCAGCTTCTCCTCCCGCAGCAGCTGCTTGGCAGCTTCCCGCAGGGCGCGCGCAAACTCGGCCGATATGTGGTAGTGCCCGTGGAAGTCGGACGCCTCCATGACGCTCTGCGGGTGCGATTTGATGCATACCTTACTCTATATATATTATATCTATCATCGAAATTATATGGATGAAACACATCGGGGCATGAAGGTACGAGTCAACTTATGTTTTGGTCGGGGGACCCCTGGTTGCTGATGTGTGCGTGCGTTCCTGGACTGCTGGACTAGACGGGTGCAAGCAGTCCGATTTGTAAGGGCCCATCAGGTCTCGGGAGGGAAGCCACGCGGGCGGCGGACAGCAGAGCGCAAACTGCAAGAGAGCACGCCCCACCCCGCTCCGCGGCTCAAATGCTCGAGCTGATTTCTCCCCGCCCTAACCCTCAAGGACGAAGACTGTTGGACAACCTCAAACCCAGGGCCCAATACTTAAAACCCCAAAGTGTTGGGCAAGGCAACTTAAGAAAAGGGCACCCAAGACATGAAGGCTTGCCTGCAAGAAGTCCAGGCGGGGCCCCAGGTCCTGCGCAAGCCGCAGCACGCACCCCAAAAACAGGTCCGGCCGCTCAAGGCGCCCTGGGGGTGAGGGGGCGCCGGCGGCGGGCAGGACGAGGAGGGGAGGGGTGGGTCGTGATGGCGGTGGCAGCGGGGTGGGTTGGCGGCGCGCATGGATCAGCTCGGCAGTTCTTGAGGCCAGGTGCGGGGAGCAGCGGCGGCGGCGCTGAGATTGGGGAGTGCTCGTAGCGCGCACCCGTCGGCGCCGCATTGGCAAACAGCTGCCGCAGGCCGTCGGCGAGCGGCGCGGCCAGCCGCTGCGCCGCCCACAGCAGCGGCGCCGCGTCCCCTGCCATCGCTGCCAGAGGCAGGCCGGACTGGGGATGGGGGGGGGCGCGTGTGGAGGGAGTGTGCAGGGTGGGTGCGATTGTGGGGTGGAGGGTGGGGTGGGTAGGCTGCATACAGAGGGCGATGATGACGTCACCGCCACACTACTGATTAGCAATAATGATTTCACACCCACAGGTGCGACACGCCGCTTTGTGTCCGTGCCGATCTCTCCGCTTGGATTGCGGACCCCTGAACCGGCCACCCTAGCTGCCTGGCACCAGGTGTCACCCGGCGTCACCCGGCGTCACCCGGCGTCACCCGGTGTCACCTGGTCCAGCGCCTCGAAGGCCGCCCTGTCCTCCACCTTCTGCAGCCGCGTCAGCGCGAGCATTAGTCGCTGCAGCGCGGCCACGGACGCCGCGCGGTCGGCGCTGCCGGCGATAGAGACGCGACCGGGCAGCCGCAGGCACGGGGGCCGGGTGGTGGAGGTCCGAGTGTCAAAGAGAAAGCGTGGCGTGCAGGCGCGTTCGGGCCGCCGACAGGAACGGTTTGTTGGGCACGCCCGGGACGAGCGCCCCCCCTCGCGCCGCACTGCTGCCACGCTCTGTTGAAGCGACACGTGAGTCCCGCCGCAGTGCGCCCGCTCCACCCATGGCAATCCTCCCGCTCCCCAGCTGCAGCAAACCTGCAACTCTTGCCGCCCCTGCCAAGCCGCGTGCCAGCAGCCCTGCCCACCTCGCAAACAGCAGACCGTCGCCCAGCGGCGCGCCGGAGCCCAGCCCCACTCCAGGCGGCCCCGCGCCGCCGCCGCCGCCGCTGCCGCCGCCGCCGCCGCCGCCCGGCCCTCCTCCAACGATCGGCGGCGGCCAGCCGCACTCCCCGAGGTGTTGGTCTATCCGCGCCCCCAGCGCCTCCCGCAGGCGGTCGCGGCACGCCTGCGGCGACCGAGAGGGGGGCGAGCGCGGAGCGGAGGGCGGGCGTCGGCGTGCGCCCGCTGCGGCTTGCGCGTGCGCCTGGCACTCCCCGCGACGCCCGCTGCGCTGCAGACGACTGGCTGCAGCGCAGCTGCGCGGCAGCTTCCTCTCAAGAATAATCTAGGGCACGTAGAGCGGAAGCCATGGGCTAGGCCCGAGCAGCCTTGCCGCAGCATGCAAGCTGCCTCTCACAC